TTTTTGCCGTAAATAACACACATTTCATAGCTGTTGTGGGTTATTTATGTGTTCATCAGTGCTTGAGAACTGTAACTTTGGGGAGCGGGTCGTAATTGTGGGCTTTTAATGCGGTGCTGTCTGTGGCGAGGTGTTGGTAGGGTCTGATCGGAGCTGCAGCCAGAGCGTTTCTCCCGACCAGCGGCTGCTGGGAGCTGGTCCACGGTGAAGCAGCCCACGCAGCCGAACGAGGGCTTCCCGGCTCTACCTAAGAGCTGACCGCAGCGGCCCCGACGACCGCGGGCCAGCGACCCGAGAAATAACATGGGTAGTCCTGCTGCTGCCTGCTGTTGTTTTTTTTCCGTAGTAAATACCTGAATATGCAGGGACTCAACAGGTCATTCAGTTGTATGGTATCATTCAGATGATCAAATGAAATGTTGCAACATTAATATCAGTTTACCTGATCTTGATCAATAATCACATTGATGAATTGGTGCATGAATAACTACAGACCCTGCTTCCTGCAGCAGCTTTTTCAGCTCTAGATTTATGATCTGCTATTTGTATATTTCAACGACTAAGACGGAAATAGCATTAAATATTTAGATTTATTTGTGGATTTTTTTGTCGATGTTGACCCTGTTGTGTCTCAGTTCATGAAGCTGTTTTCAATGTTTCCCGCGATGCGAGCAGCTGATTCTGCAGCAGATGGCCGCGGACATTATCAATTTCGAAGTGAGCATGTTTCAGAACTCTGCTCTGTGGATTCTGGTGGTTCTGATAACCACCCGCTAGTTCTGGATCAAGAGAAAGCCTGCTGTGCTGTGCCGATGATTTTATTTTGCGAGGATGGATTGAGGAAGGGGGACACACATGCTTAAATATCGACTGTCGGCAATAATCAGATTCATACTCATAAATTACTTGTTTACATGTTTTGTGTGTGTGTGTGTGTGTGTTTGTGTGTGTGTGTGTGTGTGTGTGTGTGTGTGTGTGTGTGTGTGATAGATAGATAGATAGATAAAAACTTTATTAATCCCTCGGGTGAGTTCCTTCGGGAAATTCAGTGTGTGTGTGTGTGTGTAACTCTGCCCACTAATCCGTTACGTATTTTGTTTCTTGTTGACATAAATACAAAAATTATGCAAAAGAAAAGAAGTGAAATAATGTACAAAACTAAAGTATATGGACCAGGATCGAACCCACGACCATCACCATTGCAGGCAAACGCATTAGCCACTAGACCACAAGCACTGGATACTAAATCCCCTCGCAAATTCCTACCTTCAAAACATCATGAGTGCTGGCAGGCTTTACAGCAACGTGTGTAAAATAGAGCCTTTTTTATTATTATAAACTTGTCGCTTCCGTACAAATGTGAAAGAATATATCTGACGGAGATTTCTGCGGAGTTTCTGCACTTTCTTGTCAACAGAAACAGACATGCTGTCTGCCGCTGCCTTCCGCCTCCAGGCTTTTTCAGACTATTAACTGAAAACTAAAGACTGTACACGTTAACTGAACAAAGATTACAGCAATACACCACAACTTTCTCGCTACAAATGTCGTCAAAACATATTTATATGCTCAAACAATCTTAGTTTATCAAATTTTCTCTTAGAACAGCCTGAACAGAGTCCGCCATACTTTCTCTGTTTCTCAGTCCTAAATGGACCAATCACATTGCTGTTCTGCATTTCTTCATTTGCATGTAATGGCCGGATTTGCTCACAAGTTAACTAGTGAGCAGTACAGCGGTCGAACTAGTTAACATGTTACACAGAATGCCAGCCAAGTGTGTATTTATTCAAATTCCACAAATTTACTAGTTTTAGGGGCATTTTTCTGCAGCTAGTTAACTAGTGACAGTGTTTTGTGTTCACTACTTAACATGTAAGGCTCAGTTTGCCCTCTATAAGCTACTGAGAAAAAATTATAATGCAGATATGCTCACTAGTTAACTAGTGAGTGCTTCCTGTCCCATTACAAGTGAACTAGAAAGGCCAAATATGTCAACTAGTTAACTAGTGAAGGTAAATGTGTCACTAGTTAACTAGTAAGAACACATTTTTACATAACAAGTAAACTAGATTGCTCCAAAAACAGCAACTAGTGTGCGTCTTGTGCGCACTAGTTAACTAGTGAGCATATCTGCACCTCACTAGTTAACTAGTGAGCATATCTGCACCTCACTAGTTAACTAGTGAGCAAATCTGCACCTCACTAGTTAACTAGTGAGCAAATCCGCACCTCACTAGTTAACTAGTGAGCAAATCCGCACCTCACTAGTTAACTAGTGAGCAAATCCGCACTTCACTAGTTAACTAGTGAGCAAATCTGCGCCTCACTAGTTAACTAGTAAGCAAATCCGCACCCTACTAGTTAACTAGTTGGCGTTTTGGGGCCCACTAGTTAACTAGTGAGCATATCTGCACTTTACAAGTTAACTAGTGATGCTTTTTTGCACCTTACTAGTTAACTAGTGGGCGCTTTAGGGCGCACTAGTTAACTAGTGAGCAAATCTGCACCTCACTAGTTAACTAGTTTGCAAATCCGCACATCACTAGTTAACTAGTGAGCATATCTGTGCCTCACTAGTTAACTAGTGAGCAAATCCGCACCCTACTAGTTAACTTGTTGGCATTTTGGGGCCCACTAGTTAACTAGTGAGCATATCTGCACTTTACAAGTTAACTAGTGATGCTTTTTTCTACCTTACTAGTTAACTAGTGGGCGCTTTAGGGTGCACTAGTTAACTAGTGAGCAAATCTGCACCTCACTAGTTAACTAGTGAGCATATCCGCACCTTACTAGTTAACTTGTGGGCGTTTTGGGGCCCACTAGTGAACTAGTGACACTTATTTTGCACCTCACTAGTTAACTAGTGGACATTTGTACCCTCTCTAGTTAACTAGTGAGCAGTTCCACCTTCACAAGTTTACATGTAAGTGTCACACTGAAGCCACTACTAGTTCACTAGCTGAGGTTCCTCTGGCCAGCATGTTAACTTGTGTGCTGCATGCAAATGTTTGGGGTGGGATTTTACGAAATTCCGCACTGTGATTGGTTGTCATATTTTATTTTGACACAGGGAGCCAATAGAGAGTCTTAATTTGAGAAATTCTCCGCCTCCTAATTAGAATTCTGCGCAACTAGCTAACTAGTGTGAATGTAGACTTGAACTAGTTTACTAGTATACATTTATGTCCTCACTAGTTAACTAGTTTGGACAATGGATGCATCAACTAGGTAACTAGTGAGCCTGCTGCCATCAACTAGCTAGCTATTTAGCCATTAATGGTTCACTAGTTAACTAGTGGCACTGACCTACTCCAACTAGTTAACTAGTTAGGAGTTATGCCTTCACTAGTTAACTAGTGTGCATATTTTGGCCATCAATAGTTAACTAGTGAGACACAAAAAACCTTCAACTAGCTGACTGGTATGCACTTTGGCCTTTACTAGTTAACTAGTGAGCCATTTATGTGTCAACTAGTTAACTAGTGAAGCCAAAATGTGTTAACTAGTTAACTAGTGCACATTTATGTCTACCACAAGTTAACTAGTGTGCACATTTTGGCCATCACTAGTTAACTAGTGAGACACAAAAACCTTCAACTAGCTGACTGGTATGCATTTTGGTCTTTACTAGTTAACTAGTGAGCCATTTATGTGTCAACTAGTTAACTAGTGAAGCCAAAATGTGTTCACTAGTTAACTAGTGCGCATTTATGTCTACCACAAGTTAACTAGTGTGCACATTTTGGCCATCACTAGTTAACTAGTGAGACACAAAAACCTTCAACTAGCTGACTGGTATGCATTTTGGTCTTTACTAGTTAACTAGTGAGCCATTTATGTGTCAACTAGTTAACTAGTGAAGCCAAAATGTGTTCACTAGTTAACTAGTGCGCATTTATGTCTACCACAAGTTAACTAGTGTGCACAGTTTGACCCTCACTGGTTAACTAGTGAGACAAATACCTTCAACTAGCTGACTGGTATGCATTTCTGCTTTTACTAGTTAACTAGTGAGCAGTTTTTGTGTCAACTAGTTAACTACTGAAGCCTAAATGTGTTCACTAGTTAACTAGTGCGTATTTCTGCTGTCACTAGTTAACTAGTGGGCACATTTTCACCCTCGATATTTAACTAGTTGACACAAACATGTCTAACTAGTTAACTAGTGGACAGAAATGGCTTACATGTTCATGACAATTCTGGCTGATATCCTGATATCAGAATAAATGCTCATTTGGCTTGCCATATAGCGCATCTCTGATCGCAGCAGCGCCTGTCTGCTGTGCGGCTGCCGGCTTGTGGAGCTCTTGGTAGACCTCTGTGTTCCACCTGGTTTTACCCAGCGGTCAGCCCGGCGTATCTCTGACTCAGAAGCTCCGGTGTTGTGCACAGTTAACTCCGGTTGTAGCTAGGTAGCTACCTCCGTTAGCTTAGCTCCCACCTCCGCGTTAGCTTTTGGTTAGTTTGGAGCTACATCCCTTCGACGGGTGTCGTCATTTGATCCCAGCCTTACAGCCCCACCCTCAGCTCCACCTCTTTTCCTTTTTTTGGAATTTTCTGGGCTTGACGGAACCTGTGACACGGTCAAAATGGCATTAGTGGAAACCTCCCATTTTGGCACAAAAACTTATAAGTGGAGCCTATGGACACGGATTGTCCAGTATATATGTCGATGTGTAAAACCAACAACAGCATCGGGCTCAGGCTACGAGTCTACTCTCATCTCCTATTGGTCAGTAAATAGGCATGACCCTAAAAACATGATCAGTAAGTCATTGTGTGGTGATTTGGGCTTCCTGCATTTGATTATTGTGGAATAAGCTTTAAATGAATGATGTTTGTTCACATAATTGAAATGTTTGTTCGTCAGAGAGGTCATCTCCTCTGCCACTTCTGCAGATGCACTTATGAGCTGCTGATGTGGTCTGATCCTTCTGTGGATGTGTCTCCTGGCTCTACGTCTGAGATAAAGCAGCCGACCATCTGTCTCTTTTCAGGTTTATGAGGTGAAACAAGGCAGCAATCTGGTGGAGCAGATCCGTCTGTTCATTCACAAAGTTACAGATCCTCTCCACCCGAAGGTGAATGCCAACCGACCACAGAATGTCAAATCCCTGTCCCACCCGTTCTCCAGAGAGAAGCAGCACCTGTAAGAAGAGTCCAGACATATTTGTGTGTGTGTGTGTGTGTTTGTGCGTGTGCGTGTGCGTGTGTGTGTGTGTGTGTGTGTGTGTGTGTGTGTGTGTGTGTGTGTGTGTGTGCGTGTGTGTGTGTGCGTGCGTGTGCATGTGTGTGTGTGCGTGCGTGTGCATGTGTGTGTGTGTGTTTGGTTTTTTATCCTGGTGGGGTCCATCACCTGAGATTTCACTCACCCCATGGGGACCAAAATTTCAGGCACAACCATTGCAATAGACAGAAAATGGCTTGCTGATATGCCTGGTGCAGTTTTTTTAATTTTTTTTTGCAAACCAAAATTTGTCCTCTGGAGGTAGGTTACCCTGACAGTGTGTTAAATGTGTAACCCCTGGTGGTCACTGCCAGTATTACGGTGTGTATGCAGTCCCCAGGAAGTAGGTTTTTCCGAGAGTGTGCTAAGTCTAGCACACCTGGTGGTAACTGCTGGTATTACCATGAGGTCATTAAAAATTAAAGACTGTAAAACATTTTTATTTGATTTTATATCACGGTTTTATTGCCTGGGTATATCTCAGCATCAACACCTCTGTTACATCAGCAGTATAGCATAGTAGCAGCTAATTTTTATATCAATGAACCAAACCCTCTGTCATACTGTGGTACATCACGGTGTCAACACGTAGGTATATCCAGACACGACAGGATTAAGTGGTGCAGGCAAGCCCGTTCAGATATCCAGGCCTGCCCAGCACATACTAAAACACTAGTCTTGATCCAAGAGAGCCAGCCAAGGGCTAATAATAAGTTATTATTAGGGATTTCCTGATCAGGCTTTTTGCCCTTGAGTCTGAGTTATTTGATTTTGAGTATCTGCCGATACAGAGTCCCGATCAGAAATTTCCATACTACATTAAAAAACTAATAAATAGTGAATAAATAGATCCAGGATGTTGCTTATTTTCTTGTTTAACTCATTGTATTTTGACATTTAACAACGCTGTTAACAAACAGCTCTTCTGTGAGGTAGGTTCTGTGTTCTACTTTGCCGGCGTTTTACCAGTAATGTCTATGCAACAAAGTGATGTCATGTCGCACGCGTTGCTTTTTCTGTATGAAGAGGTCTAACTCGGTTCTACCTCACATATATATATGTGATCTGTATCACATATATGTGTTCATATATGTGTTCATATAGTAGTTTGTTTTAATCTTTTGTAATGTCCAGAAAGGGTCATTTTTCACCTACCTATTGACCTACATGCCACCGGTCATCTGCAGATGTAATTCCATTCTCTAAAGTGGATTTTACATTCTATCTTCCAATAAGCCAGAAGGCTACTGCAGTGCTTGTTGACATTTCAGGGGGACAAGATGTCAGCCTGTGTTCCCAAACAAAGCTTTCTTTTGATAAGACTGCAGGATTGCACACTCTCATTAAAGGATGAACTTTCATAATTAAGTGATATAATGAAATGAACAATATGAGTTAACTAATCATATAATGAAATGGACAATATGGTTAAATGAAATGATTTGATTAATCTGTGCTTAGATTAATAAGGATGAAATGAAATAAATGACCCATATATTTAATCAGCGCACGTGACTGGACAAGCACACCATATCTCCAAGATGCAAGTTAAAGTTAACGTCACTGCACATAAATATTTTCTGATCCACAAATCAGAGCTCCTGTATCTGAGGTTGGTTGGTAAAACCCCTTTACATGCCAATTTCTGGTTTGCCATGTAATCATAACATGGCAATTGTTAAAACAGAATAACTTGCTGAGTGATTCAGTTATGGGCCATTCCCATCTGTACCGGGTCGGCCCGGGCCGGGTAGCCCCAGTCGGCCCCAGCCTGGCCCGGTTGATTCCACACATCCTTGTCTTAAGCCCATGTGGGCTGATTCTACCCACCAATCAGAGGCTTGCTCTAATGGAAGGTGTGAATTTGCTGTCAGCAGTGGGTGTGTTGGCCCTGGTCGGTCTGAAGCAGACCCCCTCGAGAAGAGGGCTGAGAATGAGCTTTGGTTGGCCCGGAAAAATACCAGGCCACCCAGATGTTTAAACAACCTACGCTACCCGGCCCGGGCCGACCCGGTACAGATGGGAATGGCCCATTAGTTTTTGAGCAGAGTTCTGGACTGGCCAGCCGGAGCACAACTCTTTGAACCATCAAAGCTTTCGACAAGCCAAAGCTGCGTGCAACGACACAGAAACTTGCTCCTTCAGCTACTCAGAAACAGCTGTTTTAGGCGCAAACTAGTTCCAACTTGTTGTGCCTGGTGACATCTCTGAACTGGAATAGTCAGTGCTGCGGTTAATCTACTGAACCTCGGTGCCTACAGGTCATCCGACCTTCCTGACCTCCAGATCCACGAAGAGGGTCTGCAAAAAGAGTGAGGTAGACATAGCATGATTGCATCTGATGTGGTTTTGATAAGAACCAACTTTGTTAGCTTATAGCAGTCCAAATTCACTCCCACTCAAAACTCAGTTTCTTCAGATATGAGGGTTCTGATAAAATCACATTCACAAATCATCACACCTCACATTCCATCCGCTTAGATTCATCCATCGCATGAAGTTTTTTTCCTAGTTGTCATGTTTTTAATTTGTTTAGAAAATTAATTTCTTACTTTTCATAGACTTGACTCTGTCTGAATAATACGAAGTGTGTTATGATCACTGAAAAAGCAGAGTCCTAATTCTTCTAATTAAACATTCAAAGACCAATCAGGTTGATACCCTATATCTATATAGAATATCACATCTTATTGGTCAAAAGTAAAGGTAATATATTAAGCTTAAAAGCAACAATATTATATCCTCATTACACATTTTATTAAAATTATTTTTCATTCTCATCATGATTTAGTTGTCTAATTTGTTTTAATTTTAGCCTTGTTTAAGTCCATTAAAATATGCTATACTTCTGATGCAATAATCTTCAACTTTTGTAGAGGAGAAGTGAACTACACCTACTTGAAATTGAAAAGATATATATAAAAATAAATCACATTTCACAATTTAAACCAATGAAACTATATTTATGATTGTTTAATCATAATTAATGGAAAATATCTAAATTAACACTAAACAGTTTGAAATTGTGCCTCTCAATATTAATAAAGTAAACAAATATGTCAATTATAAAATATATGACAGGAAATACCATCACAACATTAAAATGTGGTCCTACAATAATACGAGAAAGTTAACTAAAGGTAAGATTTGTTTTCAGGTGTATTTATTAGTTTCCCTCAAACTAGGTGGGCTGCTGGTACATTTTTCCTCACAGAAACACTGCACTGAATGCACTGATAATATTACATCTGTAGCAGTGCCACAAAAATAAAAACAATCAGCTGTTGCTCACGGAGCACACCGATCCAAGTCTAGATTGGGAAGTAACCTCCGATTCTGATTGAGTCTGAAACCACGTGATTGGGACTGATTTCCAATCACATGATTGGATCTGGACATCCCTAGTTATTATATTGAACTCTTAAAAACCTCAAGTGTAAGATCAATCCACAGCTTAGAGGCCAAGAACGAAAAAGCCTTGTCCCCTCTAGTCAAGCATTTCACATGTGGAACAACAAGTAAGTCTTGCTGTGATGACCTAAGTGCACGTGAAGGGTTGCAACAAGTAACTCAGACAGACTGTACACTGCAGGAACTCTAAAACAAGGACAGATATAAAATAAACTAGAAGCCAGTGTAGATTATTAGCCAAGACAGGCGTGATATGTTCCTATATTCTGGTGCCTATCAGGAATCTAGCTGTAGCATTTTGTGCAACCTGGAGCCTGGCAAGTTCAGCTTTATTAACTCCTCAATAAAGGGAGTTGCAGTAGTCTAAACATGATGTAATAAAAGCATGGACTACTGTCTGTAAGTGTACACGTGACACTAGGGACTTGATCTAGAAGTAAAACGTGAATTAAGTTAATTTCTTATTCGTATAACGTTGCAGCACTAAAGCAGCAGAGAAAATATTTTGCTTTTAAAAAAGGTTCGTTAAAGTAGTCTTGACAAAGTGGGATGCTGCATCTCTGCTGCTCCAGCCCTCACAAATCGTCTAAAATGTCTAAATGCAACCGGGAACAACAATGTTACAGAACACAATAATTCCCACGCACCCTCCAGAACCCCACTGTTCCACGGCCAGGACAAAAACCATGCGTTCGCATCAGCCAACACAGCCCTATGTAACATTCAGAAAGGGTCAGTTTTCACCTATATATTGACCACATAGTGACCGGCCATCTACAGAAATAATTCCATTTTCTAGGTGGATTTTATATTCTATCTTCTACAGCCCAGAGGATACTGCAGTGTTTGTTGACATTCTATGAAGACAAGATTGTCAGCCTGTGTCTCCAAAAAAAGCTTTCCTCTGATAAGACTGCAGGATTCCACACTCTGACTGAAAAGTGAACTTTTACAGCTCCAAAGTTAAATAATCATAAATAATCATATGGTTGAATGAACCAGATGTTATACGAATAATAATATTGTTTGAATAGACTGTGCCTAATTCAGTGAAGTTGAAATCAATATTATTTTTAGAATGATCCATTATATGTTATGATCAGTAATGTTTGATTTAACAAGTGAATCATTAACTACACTCATACATAGTGTTCATTAGATGCAAAATCAGGTTAAGGCCATCTCACAAAGTTTAAAGATTCTTTATCCACAGAAGGCGAACATCTTGTATCTGGAAGGTGTGGTTTTCTGAGGGATTCAAGTTTCAAGTTTAGCCAGTTTCAAGTTTAGATGTTTGGTAACGCCAACAAACATGTCGAATTCTGATTTGCAGAAATGATAAACTCTAGATTTAAAACTAGAGTGACTGCCCAAGTTACTCACTTTCCAGCTGACACTCCGAATTGGCCAATTCGGAACCAGCCTCTTTTGAAACATCTCTTTGATATCCAGTCAAAACCTGTTTGCATGCTGCAAGCTGACACAGTCGCACGACTCCTTAAAAGTCCATA